ACAATCCCTTACTATCTAGTCACCAGAGCTCCCTGAAGAAGAATACATGCCTTTTATTTATGTTGAAAAGATAGACATTACAGCATGTCAGCAGAACCAATACCCCAGTAAGAACAACAAAATTTAACAGAGCAGAAAACATCAAATGTTGGCAAGGTTGTGGAGAAACTGGAATCCTTATTCTCTGTTGGTGGGAGTGTAAAATGGTGCAACCACTATGGAAGGCTGTATGGCACTTTTTCAAAAAGTTGCACATAGAAATACCATTTGACCTAGCAATTCCACTACTGGGAATATACCCTAAAGAATCCATAACTGCCAGCCAAGCAGATAAATGCACACCCATGTTTACTGAGGCTTTCTTCACAATAGCAAAGAATTGGAAACAACCCAAGTGTCCATCAACAAATGAATGGATAGAGAAACGATGGTATATTCACACAATGGAATACTATGCTGCATTGAAAAGTAAGGAACTCATGCAATATTATACAAAATGGATTACCCTCATAACAATGAAAGAGTTTTTTTTTTACTTTTCAGGGAGAAGAGTGAATTGGGGGGAGGCAGTGGGCAGAGAGAAAAGTTCAACAATGAATGACTGGAAACCCTAGGTCTCGGTAAACTTTCATTAAAATTAATAAAAAACAAATGGATTACCCTGGAGGACATTAAGCTGAGTGAAATATCTCAGTCACAAAAGGACAAATATTGCATAGGGCCACTGTTGTAAAATGTGACTGACATTGGGATTGAGGGAAGACTGAGAAAGAGAGAATAAATGATGCATACTGTATTGAACAGAAAAAAATAGTTAGAATATTAAGACTTTACTAATGTACTTTGGATATGTTATCAGGAGAGATCATTCCCTGCAGAGAGACATGATGGTTGTTTTTAAAGCAGTGGCTGCAAAAGTGGGCTCAAACATAGCAAAGAGTGTAAGCATGCACAGGCCCAGCAGTATTTCATTTTGCTTTATGTATGTTCAATCACTATGTGTCAGAGCCAATGCAGCAGCAGCTAACAAAACGTTAATCTGAAGAGCTTCACCCTGCTATGATAACGCATAATTTTTTAAAGGGTTAAGACTTTTAATGACTGCACTATTAGAGCTCATCAGCTAGTTATAATTGTGGGAAATATGTAGCTACTGTGTCCCATTAGAAAGGACAGTTTGGTTTTTTGGTTTTTTAAAACACCGAAAATGGTGGTTTTCTTTCCATAGTTGCACATTTTCTTACCCCCTCTCATCTTCCCCTGCCCTCCCCACATATATACAATGCCTAATTATATATTCCTTTTAGTCAATTCTTCCCCTCATCTGATCTGATGCGGTGTTCATTATCTATCCACTCTTTTCCCATTCTCTCCCCAACCCCCTTAAGTCTCCTATTTTTATAACAGCAGTGTTATGCAGTATTTTTCCTTTGGTAACTGAGATATTTCACTCAGCATAATGTCCTCCAGGCTCCCCATGTTGTGTAATGTTTTATGAGTTTGTTGATTTTCAATGTGTAATATTCCATTATGTGAAGACACATATCATTTGAAATCAACAATACATATCCTTGCCCCAATCTATAATCTATATCTTCAAAAGAGTTATATATCTCGTGTTCTGAAAACTTCTCTTACAAGAGTAGGAAAAATGTATAGAATTACAGTTTGCACTGGGTAAACTGGCTGCCCAGGACCTCTTTAAAGTGCTCAAGAGATAGAATGTCAGCTTAAAGACTAAGATGTACGTAACTCAAATCACAATATTTTTAATAGTTTCCTTTCAAATTCATGTTACATTTGGACAACGAATAAGAAAGACTGAAGGAAAATATTTTAATTTTGCTGGTGGTAAAGAATGCTAAATATCCCATGGAATGCTAAAATAACGAACAAATGTGTTTTGGAGGAAATGCAACCAAGGAACTCCTTAAAAGCAAGGATACTTTGAGCATGTTGTCAAGAGGGGCAATCCTTGCTGGGACATCATGCTGGGTGAAAAGAGGGTCAGTAAAAGAGAGGATGACCTTTGAAGAGATGAACAATGAGCTTATGCAGGGTGGAATTCTAAGAATGGTGAAGGATAGGGCAAGGTTTCTGCCTGGTGTTCATAGGATCACTATGAGTCATACTGACTTGAAGCTCTGGTGACTTAGTGATAAGGAATTGAATCCCTATGGGAGAAAGACAGGCAACCTCCTCCCTTTTAATTTATTGTCTCTGAAAACACTAGAGAGTGAACTATGGGTTGGTTCTAACTCAATAGTAAACAACAGTACAACAACTTGCCATGTTTTACACCTTTACTGTAAAATACATATGAAATATTAGTTTTCTATTTCAGCTCAATTTTCATATATAAATAGCTGACAAAGAAACTTATTATATCACTAAATACAAAAATACTTATATTGTCGCTTTTCTTAGATTATTTTAGAAAACTCCTAAACAGACTTATAAGTGGCCTGGTACCACAAGACATTTTTTTTAAATGTTTTATAATTAAGCAGCCACCTCTAATTGCTGAAATTCTGCAACTGGTAGAAATAACAATGTATAATCATTCCTCATATGCTACTGATTATTCAAATATGAGAAGTATCAAAATCTATTCTTAAACTGTAAGATATAACAAATGAGGCAAATAAACAGGGCTTGAAGGTACATAAAGCCATTTTATAACAAATACTAAACTTTTACATGTTTTTATGCTCTTTACTTAAAAATGGATAAAATCTGAAATGTTAATTTTTTAAATAAAAAAATTTCAATATTATAGACATGTAGTGTACATTCTTCTTTCTAGTAACCATTTTTATTAGAAATCAGTAAGCTAACGCTTGCACAAAAACTCTAGATATGAGAATTTTCCAACATTTTAAGTTTGCTTTGATAATTCTTTTGAAACTGTTTAATATGATAAATTTTCTTTTGAGTACATCAAGTATAAAAAAAAGAAGATATATAAATTAAATAAAATTCTATTGTCATTTTCATCTTTAATGCTTACTGAATGAATACTTAACAAGCAGACTATTAGGTTTGATCAGTATGGAAAATACTTTCAAGTAATCTTTAATCTATGATATATATTTATTACATAAATAGTTTATTAGCAGACAAAAGTTAGAAAATAACAATGAAGTCTTCCCAGACAGGGGGACAATATGTTTAAATAAGGAGTAAAAGGTATTATTATCATGTGCTATCAAAACAAAAGCACTTTTTGGGAGAGGAGGGAATCTTGATCATTAGTGCATAATTGATATACATACATTGTAACTCATTTGAAAGCAATTTTAAATTCATGGTAACATTTTAAAAAAACTAAAATCACTAAAGAAATACTTAAATCTGCATAGTATGAAATATATTAAATTCCTCAAGAAAAGAAAAATTTTAGCATGCCATCAAATTAAGTACAGCTAATTTCAAAATGTTACCTTTTATTCCCTTACTTGTCCATTACTTTATAGGCAAGGCCCTAAGAAGAAATAGCTAGGTAGTTATGAGTATAATTTCTAAGTTACTCATACTCTGATAGTCACTTAGCTTTACAATTTGGTTTGATTAAATTCCAGAATATAATCCATACTTCATAATTATGACAAAAGGTAATGTGACAGGACTAGAGTAAAAAGCGATTATTCTCTATCTCAAATATTATCTCTAGCTTAATATTTCAGTATTTTGAAAGAGCAGTAGTCATTCTTCGTATTCTTCAGGATTTTTTTAAAGTGCTTTAGTTTAAGAGTACGTCATGCAGAAATGAAAGATTTGTAAATACTCAGTGTCCATTTACAAAGGTCGCTGAGTAGTTTTATAAAAAAATCACTCTTCCTTCATTCTAAATATATACTTTCCCCAATGAAACTATTTAGGGACTAAAAAGCAAACTTCTAGAGATCAAATAAATTATCACTTAAGTGCAATAGTGATTTTGTTCATAGAAACCTAAGGGAAATACCATATTTTATCCTGTCAGTAAGTCTTCATTTTTTTTTCATTTCTAAACTAATTAAAGTGCATTTAAAAGACAGTGCACTTCCTAGGAGCTGAAGATTTCTTCTGGCAACAAAACAAAACTCACTGCTATTTGGTCATTCAGATTAATAGAGACCCTATTGGGCAAAGTAGAACAGTATTACAGGGTTCCAAAGGCTGTAAGTCTTTAAGGAAGGAGACTGTCACATCTTTCCAAGCAGCTGGTCTTTTCTGGTGGGTTAAACTGCCAACTTTTTGGATAGCAGCTAAGCATTTTAGCTGCTGTACCTACCACCAGGGCTCCTTTCCCACGACACAGGAGCCAGAAAATATTTACTTATCTGAGTTCAGCCGGTAGTAAGCTCATCCTTAATTATTCTTATAAAGATGGCTGGTAAAGAACCACTAACACTTTCTCTGTTTATGTCAATTGACAGGGTGCAAAACATGCGTGCGCGGTCACAAGCACACACAAACTATGGAACGTAGAGAAGTTCAGACTGAGAGATGATGGAATGACAGCAGCATGGGGGTTCTCAAAGACAGATCTTTATCCTTTGCAAAAGACTCATCTCTACCATAGCTCTTTCACTAACTCAATACGATAAGTCAACCACATTGGAATTCCTTTACTGTGAGAAAGTTGAAGGTGATCAAAGGCAGGGTGACAACAACAGCCCTGGGACAAAATTAGTCTGATAAGTGTTTATTCCCAGATTATAAAATGACTTCCAGGCAATTAGTATGGCTTTAGCTTTCAACCTGACACTTGCCTGGTTGCAATAAAGATGGAATTAGGGACTTGGAGTCCTTCTCCCACCAATCTGGAATCTTTAGCCTCTCTGCCCCACACCCAGAAGACCCGCTTAAAAAAAAGACTGAAACGTTTCTATAGTTCCTTAGGAATTGAAGAAACTTAGGGTCCCCTACCCAACAGATAAACGCACACTAAGCGTGGGGCACGAGGCAACAGAGCCGGGAGTGCAGGGCAACCTAGATTTGGTTTGAGGGCTCACCCGCGTTCTGCAGCGTCTCAATGTTTTGGGGTCTAGCTGCCAACTCCGCCACCATCTGCACGAACTGGGTCCGGGATTTCTGGTATCGCTCGAACACTGCGAGGCAAAAACAAGGGAGGAGCTGGACGGCCGCGTTGCCCCCTTCTCCTTCGGCGCTCCCGCTGCCATTGCCGTCGAGGAGCCCCGCCGGCCTCACGCCCTACCTTGCAGCACCTGCCTCTGGCTCATGGCGCTCGCAGTCACGCTCTGCACTCAAAGACCCTCCACGGCGAAAGCGGTTCCTCGAGTCCGTGCACAGAGCCAGCGGCTGTGACCGTTCAGCCTCTGAAGAGATCCGTGTCTCTGTGTACGCACGTCTCCTGGGCAACCTACCGGAACCGGAACGCGGCCGTCTCGCGGCAATGGCCCGTCTCCGCCGTGACGTCAGGCGGCGGTGCCCGGCGCCCGGCGACGCACAGGCTGCCGCGCCGCAGCGGATGGGTCCGCAGAGCTCCCTTGGGAAGGCTGCTCCGTTGCCAGAGGCGTGCGCCGTCGGGGGTTGTTCTCCCGGCCGGCTGGGCGCCCTATACAAACTATGCGTCACAAAAAAACAGTCCAGAAACCAAACTCAGGGTAATCTCCCTGATTGTAACACACGCTGGGTGCAGTTTACCACCTGTGCGGAAAGTATGGTTTAAGTGCTGCTAGATGAGTAAACTACTCCAATTTGTCTTTGCTTCGAAGATCATGAGAAATCTCCCACGTGCTAGTGTAATTCACTAAGTGCGTTATTGTTGTATACCGTCGAGTGGGAACAGACCCATCGCTGACCCTCCAGTGAGTTTTCACATCTCACGGGAGGAGATTGCCCATCCTTCAGCTTTTGTGTGCTTGGGATTTCTGCTTTAAAGATTCCTGGAGGGTCAAGACAACCCAACCATGTTAATAGACTTTACTATGATGAAAGATGTAATAAGTACTCTTAGGAATGCAATGAGCTCTGGTGGCCTAATGGTAAGGACCTGGGCTACCATCCCAGACATAAGAAGGTACAAATCCACAAACTGCTCCACGGGAGAAAGGTGGGCAATTCAACTACTGTCAGTGCATGGGAAAACCCATTGGAGGGGCGGCACTTAATAATAACAAGCATTCAATGAGAAAAGCAGACAAGAAAATAACGTGGCAATTTCCCTGTATTCTGTGGTTTCCTCCTCATTACTACTAAGTTTTAAGTACTACTTACCTTTTAGTGATTTCCAAAAATTTTCTTTTTTGTCTTTTAAAGTTTCATTTTACTTGTTGCAGTTTCCCAAAGAGAAAGAGAAACTTTATCTGGAAAGTCTTGACTCAAATTCTTCCAAACAGGCATCCCTAGGTTTTGTGTGTGTTTTTTTTTACTTTGTCCCTTAAAAGTTTCTTGTTTATCTCTGAAAACTATATAGCGAACATTTCTGTGACAGATGTCAACTTCAAATGCTACTTTACCAGAAACTACAATTTCACCAGGTGTCAGATAGAATTAGCCACAGCTGCTTGTAACTGTAGTGCCCAATTTCTTGTTATCTCCACTTCATCATAAGTGTGTAGACATAGCAAGTTGAGGTGAATTCTCGATAATACTCTGAGATTTCGCCCTGTTCTGAGCTTGCTAATGGAATTCTGTATTATGTGGAGCTCCAAAGAAGTGAGAAATGGACCAACAATCAGAAGGAAGAATTAGTGTATTCCTGTCCATCCCCAGCACTGATGGCATGTTTTTTGCCTCTGCATCCACAATCACCTAACTTGGAGGTGTACATTTCACAGTGAACATTTTCCTAGGGAACAAGTCCTTTAGAATTAATGTTCTTGTGCGGCCACATTTAGGTATATGAGAGGAAACAGATTAAGTGAATAATTAAAATTGCAAATAATTTTTTTTCAGTTCTTTCATGTTTGATGGGAGGGTGACTGTCTGTGGTCTGTCATTTTTAGCAAGTATTTTACTGTGCATTTTCTACTTTAAAACTGTTGAAATAAGACCTCAATATTGAACTAGAAAAGCCTGAGCCTGCAAATAACAGTCTACCTATGAAATTTTTAAAGTTTGAAAACTTGGGTTCAAATGCCATGTAAATAAGACTTCAAAAATGAAGGGGAAAGTATAAGCCTATAAACATAATGGAACCATCTACTTGATGCTATAAAGTTTAAAAAAGTTATGTTCAAATGCAATTTAAGTTGCTTTTTAACTAGAGTCTGAATATCTGCCATAACAAATGTCTATAGGAAAATTTACATTGTTCCTGATGAAATTAGACTTATTTAAAACATCTTTTCTCCTTATTCTAACTTTTTAAGACTTTAAAATTAAGTGGAGAAATGTAGTATAAAGTATTCACAATATACAAGCAAATGAATTTACTAGCAATTAAAATATAAAACTATGACTAATAAATTAGTTTACTGACAAGAAAGTAAATATGTATTTTTTTACCCACTTTTGAACTTACTAACTTTAAAACATACTACCTTTTTTTGGTAAAAATTAAATTAATTCCTCAAATACAGATATACAATGTACTTGGCATATTAAATTATTTGTTTGCTTGAGAATGAAAAAAATGGTATAGTCTCTGAACAATTTTAAAAAATATTTCTATGTGAGTTTTACTTGGAAGCTTTTGGATCCTTTAATTAAAACTAATCAAAATATGTCTTCAAAAACACATTGCATTTAATTCCTTCTTTATTCAAAGGAAACAAGAAAGGGCATCAATATATATTAAGCCAGTTTTAAAATTTTGTCTTATCTTTGTTGGAAATTCAGAAAATCTCATTATCAAGGGACAATAGTCTATATATGCCTAAAGGAGGCTGCTACTTTTAACAAATACCTGTTTTTTCTTCAGCTTCTATCTGAATTTTTAAAGTCAACACTTTAAATGTGCAAATTATATATTGCATACACATTTCTAAATCTGTTGTTGAGGTGAATGAAGCATGTGTATGTATGTGTGTTTTACATCCTTTCATTAAGCCAAACACTAATGTAATGTGTGCTTGACACTTTTCTGGTAATAGAATGTGCCTGCCTTCCAGATTTGAAATCTAATAGGAAGGAATAGATATGTAAAGAAATTACTAATTCACTCAACAGGTGTATATTGAATGCCTGCCCTGAGTTAAGAGCTATAATTGCCTTAAGTGCCAGTGCTTTTGGACTCAGAGTCACTTGTGGAAAGAGGTGAGATAACCTAAAATATCACCTATATAATAAAAGATTTCTTCTTTTTAAGAAAAAATTAGCTGAATCTTACCTAGATATGAAATTCACACACACAAAAGAACTAATGCCTAATCTCAGCATTTAAAACGTCATTCACGGTAATTACATATAATTTTTAAAGTTACAAGAGTTTAATAATCACTTTGCCATTAGCAAGGCTGAAATTATTGCAATAACACAGTATTTACATACTTGAATTTAAAAATAAAGGCACTACTTACTACTCCATAACCACGTGTACCGAAACAATTAACTGCGGTGAAAGCAAGCATATGACTATCTTAAATAATGCATTATCCCTCCGACTAGGAATACCTTAGGATTTTACACTTAGTTCTGAACATACCATCCAATTGTGCCATCCAGTTTGTCAGCAGAACAGAAAAACATTTGACACTTCTGTCAAGGAGAAGGTTAAAATATTTATGCATGCATTATGTTTATATATTTCCTTTTTCCCCCTTTACAGATCTACTCTTCACACTTTAAAATGTTACCTTTTTTTTTATGTTAAAGCCAATAGAATGTTGACAGTGATCCAAGTAGACCTCAAGTTCCAAAGATACACTTTTATGTGTTTTCCTTTCCAATAATTCAATGGATGCAGAGATTGAACTAATTTTTTTTCACCTCCAAAGAGATTCATAATTAGGATGATACCACGCACGAGTAACTTTGCCTCTAAAAGGCACCACACGGTACAAGGTCACGGATAGTGAAAATATGATTTTGCTGTCATTGTTACATGCTGTCTTGTTGCTTGCGACTCATTGCGACCCTATATACAATAGCTTTGAACGCTGCTCTATCCTGAGCCAATCTTATTGTCGCTGACACACCTAACCCCATTACCGGGTCACCGAATCAATCCATCTCTTTCAGGGTCTTCCTTTCTTATGCTGTCTCTCAACCCTTCCAAGCATGATGTCCCTCTCCAAGGACTAGTCTTTATAAGATTTTGCTGTAGAAGTCTGAAATATAGGATATCATTTTCTAATATAATAACATATCTGAAAACCAAATCATTATTGTTCGAAAGTGTGTGTTATGTATTTTCTTTAAGACTTTACAGTGCATTTTCTCAGTAATTGAATATTATGCCTAACCATCCCTCGCTAGGTAGAAAACTCTAAATGCTTTGACATAGAAGTCAATCATTCCCTTTTCATCCTCCACCACTACAACCTCACTCTCAGCCATCACCCAGCCCAGACAGAGCGCACCTGCTGGAGTAAGTAAATGCTTTCTTGGTAGTTTAGCTTTACAATACTGGCGTTGTTGGTCTTGTTTCGGAATGGGCATTATTCCTTCCCCATTAATTTGCTAGTATGAAACACAAGAGCCAAAGATGGGCGGTTCCAAATAGAAAATTACTCCTAGAGCCCCCCTCCCCCAAGGGCGCATCTGGACCTCGCCAGTGGATGACGCGGTCCACACCCCTTCGCGGGCTGTTCCCGTCCGCGAGCGGGCGGGGGGTTCGCGGGCTCCCCCAGGCGGGGCGGGCGCGGGGCTCCACGCTCGACGACGCAGGTCCCGGTTGGCATCTATGTTCTGGGTTAATAGAAGGGGCGCTGAGGTCTGAGGGAGAAGAGATAATGTGGCTTTGTAAAGGTTAATATTCACTCGCTCAGGCGGGGATGGGGTGGCAGAAGAAGAGGAAGCGACGAGAGTGGAGTTCAAAGTTCCCGAAACTCCGACAGCAGCTTCGCAGTCTAACGGGCTGCGCACAGGAAAGGGGGGGCTGGAACTCGGTTAGGGCTGGGGTCCAGGGGACTTTCGAGTTAGAAATGGGCGAAGGTCAGCTGTGAACCGTCAGGCAGGGCTGGAGAAGAGGCGTGGGGGAACGCAGGGCCGTCGCGGAGGAAGAGGCGGGGGCTGCGCCGCCAAAGGCGCGAGTGCGGAAACGGAGGCCCGGCCCGCGCGCGGGGAGGTCGGTTGGGGCTCGGCCGACTGGGGCTCGGCGGAGCGCCTGCCCTCC